TTTGGCCTCCTCATTGAGAGGCTTGTTTTTGTGTTTAAGAAGCAACTTTTGTCCCAAAAAACCGTTGAGGCTGAGCCAGACTCTATCTATGCATCGCATACCAGCCATGCTACTGAGGTTTCCCGGTGTTTCACACCGGGCAGCAAAGATCTTAAGCTGGTGCGTTACTGTTCGATGGTCTAGGCCGCGATCAAGGCAAGCAGCCTCCCATGCAGCATTGCCATTCGTATGCTCTTGGAGCACGAACGTTATTATGGCTTGGGCACGGATGCTCTGATCATCGTATGCTCTTCGAACACGAATGTTATTATGGTTTGGGCACGGATGCTCTGGTCATCGTATGCTCTTGGAGCACGAACATTATTATGGTTTGAGCACGGATGCTCTCGTCATCGTATGCTCTTCGAACACGAACGTTATCATGGGGCTTCGGCATGGATGCTCTGGTCATCGTATGCTCTTCGAACACGAATGTTATGATGGTTTGGGCAGGGATGCTCTGGTCACCGTATGCTCTTGGAACACGAACGTTATCATGGGGCTTCGGCATGGATGCTCTGGTCACCGTATGCTCTTGGAACACGAGCGTTATTATGGTTTGGGCACGGATGCTCTCGTCATCGTATGCTCTCGGAGCACGAACGTTATTCTGGTTTGAGCACGGATGCTCTGGTCATCGTATGCTCTTCGAACACGAACGTTATCATGGTTTGGGCATGGATGCTCTGGTCATCGTATGCTCTTGGAACACGAGCGTTATCATGGCTTGGGCATGGATGCTCTGGTCATCGTATGCGCTTGGAGCACGAACGTTATGATGGTTTGGGCATGGATGCTCTGGTCATCGTCTGCTCTTCGAACACGAACGTTATTCTGGTTTGGGCATGGATGCTCTGGTCATCGTATGCTCTCGGAACACGAACGTTATTACGGGCACGGTATCGTTTAGCCATGGACGAAGTCCAAATACGTATATTGTTTAAACCAGAGCACGAGCCATAGAACGCCCAAGTAAACCCTAAAATCTTGAAATAAACCCTAAAATCTAAAAAAATGCTATAAAACGCCACGGCGTTCTATGACCCGTTGACCAACTACTATATCATAAATGGCTTGTCTAGTCAAGACTGTTTGCAACGTCATCTGGGACCAAATTTGTAGTATATCCCTTAATAACTCCCCCCCGAAAATCCTATATAGTCCACTATAAGTCCCCCCCAGCCTAAATTTACCCTAAACCCTAAACCCTAAATTTAGTCCATAGCTCATTTGCAGTCATGGTCCGCACCTGCGTCAGGGCTCCGTAGGCCAGTGGCTCAACTGCCGGCTGAACGAACTCCGGAAGGCTCCTTGGCTACCAGAACTTACTGGTGGTTAGTGGGGAATCGGGAAATAGAATCCCTATATATAGTCCCCCTTAAGTAGATAGAATATGGTGTACATAGGGATCTGATTATAATACAGCCAAAGCCATGTTCTATCTACTTAAGGGGGACTATAATCCCTATACAATACATTCCCCTATTCCCTGTTGACCCCAGTAGGACGATGCTTGCAATGTGCAGTTGATTTGGCTCTCTGCCTCCTTCTCTCTGGGCTATCTGCGGCTGAAGGTCTCTATGAAGCCCATGGGAAACTCTGCAGTTGAGTAAACCACATCCTCAACAAGCGCCGACATTTGACAGCGAACGAACTTCCAACCAGACTTCCTCAGGCTATGGCTGACTCGTAGACCTTCTTGAGCCATGCCTGCTGGTGCCGTGTCTCAGGCTTTTGGTTCATGCATCACACGACATCGACTCCCATGGAACAAAGTGATAGGCCACTGCCAGCACCGCTTGTAGCTCCAGGCCTCGTCGAGCTCTTTGAACATCCTCAGGGTGACAGGTCTGCCAGCAGTTAAAAGAGACTTGGCAACTTGTTCTTTGAAACTCTCCCATACCAGAGCCGACTAGCTCAATCTTCGGCCAGGCTCTTGCGTCCATCTGCGACTAGGAATTCTCCGCCTTCCTCTGCTGCCTGCAGCACAAGGGAATATGGTAATAATAGAAAAATAGTACTAACAGCAAAGAGAATAATAATAGTAATAACAACAATCATAGTAATAATAGGGGAATATGGTAATAATAGTAATAACAGTAATAATAGTACTAACAGTAATAATAGTAATAACAGAAAGGGTAGTAATAATAGTGTTCAAACCCTGACTGCCCATTTCTTTCTCAGAATGAAGCCGCCATCGGCAACGGTGGATCCTGGCCTTGAAGCACACGAAAAGAGCTGCCCCTGGCGCTCTATCTCCAACCATCCTTGCCCAGGCCAGAAAGAATCCCACATCTTTACTAATATTGTTACTACTATTATTACTATTCTAATTACTATTCTTATTACTATTACTACTATTATTACAGAGTTCAAGCCTAAGCCTGTCTTGCGCAGATCAGGCTGCCAAGGTGCTCGTTGTGCATGCCAATGTAGAACTTGCTGCGGGAACTCGGTCTCAAAATTCTCTCAGCTAATTCTGGACGCCGCGGTCCAAAGACAAATGCTTCTGCAGAAATGCTGCCAGATGCTGCTAGCACTTTGAGGCGTGCACGGCTTGTTGACAGCCTCATAGACGCCAGCCTTTTTGTCGACCGCATCCCGGGCAGCAACAGAGTGAAGCGGATCCTCCACCGCACCACTGACACTCTTCCCCACAAGCAATCCGGAGAGTTTTGATGCAATGCTCTGCTAATGCCCTCCTCGCAGGGATCGAGCTCCAAGGCTTTGCCCACCTGAACTGCAAGCAGAAGAAAGACTACTGACTACTCCTGAAGACGATGCAGAAGCTCAGCACGGGAGAACTGAGTAGCACTGCATATCAAAAGAGTCCGTGGTAGCTTTTCAAATATTGCTGGTTCTGCCAGTCCTCACTTTGTTTCAACTAGGCTCATTGCGATGAAGCCTCTTCAACTGATTGCTAGATGTTAGCAAGTTGTTAAATTGACAAGCACATGGGAACCTTTCCGCAGAAACTCGTCAGCCATCCCAAAGCTTTGGCATTCGTGACCACAACATGCTGGAAACCAAGTTGTCTTCGGGCATTCCAAAACTGTCTGCTAAATCGGTAGTGGCAGGTCGATGCCAACAGCTCAGGCACCGTGGATCTAAGGTGTATGACCATAGTGCTTTTTCATGGCTGAACAAAGATTATAGCCTTCTTACGAAACACTGTAGCGAAATGAGGATGCTTGCTGCTACTCCATATTGGGGACTGTCGTACTCACCAATAAAACACTACTGACAGACGCTTCATTGAACGTCCCCCCCTGGCCCAAGCTTCTGGATGGGAGTTGCTGCGCTTCCCAATCTTCGTTTCATGTTCCATGCTGTTTTAAATTTGAGTCTCCACGATTCCTAAACTCTAAACCCAAAATCCCAAACCCTCCAGCCTGGCCAAAGGTTTCTTTATCTTTGGAGATCTCGAAACCACGAAAGACAACGGCACCATGTGTCTTCAGATCCTGCACAGAAGACTGTGCAATGTTGTCCGGACTACTCAGAAGCCATCCTTGTAGATCTGCGGCAGGTTGGACGAGAAGAACTTCCGCTGGCCCTGGCAACACAAGCGGAGCTTTCACAAGTGGTGGTTTCCCAAAATAGGGGTACCCCAATATAGACCCAAAGTGCTATATGATCCCTGTTATTGGAGTGAGGGGGCCTTGTAAAAAAAGCCTACAGGCATGTCATTGGCAGTTAGCAACAAGTTCCTTTGCCTTTACCTCTCTCCATGCCTGGAGAAGAATAATAATGATACGTTGTTGATGGGCGGTGCAAGCCGGATGATTTGAGCTAAAACGAGCTATAGTCTAAACTCCTGGTGTCCACCTTGATAACCCAGAAATAGTCCCCCTATGTAATCCCCTATATAACGCCCTTTAAGGAGTTTAGACTATAACTCACATGGAAGTTGAACGCGTCTGCTCTGCAAGACACGGAAGCAACAAAAACACGGCGGCCACTAGCACCGTCCACTTGGCAGAGTCAATATGCTCACAGGAGAACAGCATTCAGCCATTTCGCTGTACCTAGCTTGTCTGGCACATAGCCACCATAGTATTGTTTTTTCAGTCATGCACAGCCAGGTCAAGAGTGTTGAAACTGTCATGCAAGGACATGCAAGGAAGCACATGAGCCCTGGACTAAATTTGTAGTATATCCCTTAATAGGTCCCCCCCAAAAGCCTATTTAGTCCCCTGTAGGTCCCCCCAACCTAAATTTAGTCCGTAGCTCACATGGACTGCACTTGCCTCAAGGTCGCCTTTCAGCTCGTCGGGCATTTTGATCTCCATAGGGCCACTAGGCGCCTGTCAGATGCTGTGAAACGAGGTAAACACACTTTGACAAACCTCCTTTGGGTTAGTCGGGGAATATGGCAAGGTAACTCCTATATAACCCCTATATACTAAATTCCCTGATGCCCTACTATAACCCAGACATGTACCCTACTGTAATGTAGTAGTTTCCATTTTCTTGTCTATTATCCCTATATAACCACAATATATACCCTATTATACTATAGTAGTTTCCATTTTCTTTTCCATTGTCCCAAGACTACCCCAATATACTATAGTAGTTTCCATTTTCTTTTCCATTACCCCTATATAACCCCAATATATACCCTATAATCCCTATATAAACCCTATATACCCTGTAGTTTCCATTTTCTTTTC